TCATGTGACACTGAAGACTGGAGTAATGATGCTGAAAATACAGCTTTGATCACAGAAATAAATTACAGTTTAACAGATATTCACATAGAAAACAGCTGTTTTAAATTATAATAATATTTCACAATTTTACCGTATTTTTAATCAAATAAATGCAGCCTTGGTGAGCAGAAGAGACTAAAAAACCTTAAAAACTCTGCATTACATTTCAACAATAGTGCATTAACTATCAGCTGATTAATCATACATAGACACATGCATCTCAAATGTGAAAAATCAGGTGAAAGATTTTCAAAATGAAGTTTCAGGTTTATTAAAGCACATTTAAAACTGAACGAGGCTGACCAACGTGCGGAAAAAACACGCAAACTTAATATCTTATGCAAAATTGTATTATTAGTTTGTTTATTTAATTAAATTAATGAATAATTGCAGAATTATTCTTGAAAAAATAAGGAAAAGTGTATCGTCGGTTAATTTGATGAACTTTTTTTTGTCATGGTTTACCGTTATTTCTCCTCTTCAGACTGTTTCACTCTCTGTTCTTAATCAGAGCACATTTGGGTCAGTCTGATTTCACAGATGAGAGACTCTGTGTTGCCCAGTGATCTCTAGAGACGGTGAGAAACTCATGCGCTCATAAAACACACCGCAGATGTGCACAAAACAGCTCCGTCTGCGTCACAATCACAATGGAAATGAGATCAGCTTAAAAGGTTGTAAGAAAGTAAGACTTGTTTTCATGCAATCTTGAATATATCATATTTTCATATTAAATTTATTCTTAGATTTATTAGTTTTTCAGTGCAAATCAAATTCATCCGTCCCTTGACACTCACCGGCAAATCCCTCGATTAAATCTGTGCTGAACATTAATTTCTGTAAGATAATTGAGTATAGTAGTATATATACTGTATGCATGCATAGACACATTAATGCTCAGCTATGTATAAACCAGTATATATGCAAACACACAAGGTAAGAAGAAATAAAACTAAAATAAATTACATTTAAAAATGAAAAATAATAATTATATTAATAATAATAATAATAATATACCAGTAGGTATGCACACACGAGGTAAGAAGAAATAAAAAAATTATAAAATAAATAAATTGAATAATAATTTATATATAAATTGATCTTGTTTTCCTGCAATCTTGGATATACGTGTATTTTCTTTTTTTAGTTTTTTTATTAGTTTTTCAATGCAAATCTAATTCTGACCATTGATTTCCATAAGCTAATTGAAAAGTAGTGTATATATATATATATATATATATATACACCCTTATGTATATACCAATATATATGCACACACACAAGGTAAGAAGAAATAAAAAAATAGATAAATAAAAAAAAAAAATTTTCATAAAAAATTTAATTAATTGCAAATTATTATTATTATTACTACGTATATACCAATATATGCACAAGGTAAGAAGGAATTAAAAAATAGCTAAAAACAAATAGAATTAAGCTAATTGAAAAGTAGTGTATATATATATATATATATATATACACCCTTATGTATATACCAATATATATGCACACACACAAGGTAAGAAGAAATAAAAAAATAGATAAATAAAAAAAAAAAATTTTCATAAAAAATTTAATTAATTGCAAATTATTATTATTATTACTACGTATATACCAATATATGCACAAGGTAAGAAGGAATTAAAAAATAGCTAAAAACAAATAGAATTCAATAAATTAATTTTAAAATAAAAAATACATTAAATGTAATTAATTAAATTCTTGATTATTATTATTATTATTATTATTAATAATAATAATAATTAAAAAACAAACACTGGTTTGGCATCCATTTAGTGTTTAATAGAGTGAAAGGGCGCCAGATCTTAAAAAACCTGATATTTTCAAGTTGAAGACGAGACATTATATCTCTGATCCACTGGATGGAATATAATTCCATTGGAAGATTTTGGAACAAGACTAGACAGTAAAACACATCTGAGTCTTAATATCTTATGCAACACTGATTCTCAGAGAAGTGCATCTTGTTTTAAGAGCTTTTAGATATTTTATTGCAAAACTGGGTGAACGTTTTTTATGCATTAACAGTTGTCTGTTGTTTGGGATGTGAGATGAGGGAGGCCTGTGTCCCGTACGGATCCGCCGGCCGGTCGCTCTGGAAACACGGGTCACCAAAGCAGGAATTCATTCCTCCGTCTCCAGATTTATGTATCTAATTAACTGCGTCTCACAAAGACTGTTGCTGTACACAAGCGCCGTAAGAATGTCTCTCAGGAGGAACCACATCGCATCGCATCGCTCACATGCTGCTCTTTTACAGCTCAGGAGACTTGGGTTTGATTGAGAAATTGTTGAGATCTCTTGTGAATCTCTGAAGGAGACGTGTGAGGTTTTTCCTCAGGAGATGCATTTAATCTCAGTCTGTCTTCAACAAACAAGTATATTAATATTTATGCATTTGGCAGATGCTTTTATCCAAAGCGACTTACATTGCATTCTGGATTTGCATTTGATCAGTTCATGCATTCCCTGGAAATCGAACCCATGATCTTGGCATTTTCTACTGTTTGAGCTTCAGGAATGAATATACGTGAAATGCATTTTGCAACCCATTTTTCTTCCATAATGAGATTAATTTCTGAGTGAAACAGGATGTTTAGTCATAAAAGAGAGGATGGGAATCGATTTTATTCATTGGGAATTGAAAGAATCGTAAAATAGTGATTATTACAATATTAATATTAAGTGAAAAACGTAAAATTGTTGACTTGGCCTGATTAAACCTGAAATAAAAATAAATTTAAGCTAAATAGAAATATTAATAAATAATAATAAAAATAGAAAAAGCACATAACAAGATTGCTAAAACTGGAACTAAAATTAAAATGAAAACTGAAAATGTAAAAATTAAAAGCCAATTCAAAATATTAATAAATACTCATATTTTATAAATATGATTAAAATAGCACTGATTCTGCTGGTGAATATTTAGTTTACGTACTTTAAGCAAAACTACAAGATGGAACGAATATAAAAATCAATATGAAATGCATTTTAATGAGATACATACAGTAAGTTTAAATGGAAGTAAAATTAAAACTACTATATTGAAATTAATATTTTGTAAAAATGATAAAAATAGCAAAAGCACATAAAATTACTACGAACCAAAACTAAAATAAATACAAAAAATGTAAAGATAAAAGCAAATTCATAATATTAATAAATACTAATAATTTATAAATAATACTAAAATAACATTCTGAAAAATCAATGCATAATGTACTGTATTAATTTGAAGGAATTTTCCATATTGATTTTTTACAGGTGTTTTACCTGTATTTTGCACTCCATTGTGTTGTGCTTTACAGTTAAATTACTGTAAAATTAATGGATAATGTCTTGGCAAAAAATTACCAGTACATTTTCTTATTTTTCTTCTTTTTTGTTACAGTGCTTGTTCAGTTTGCTTGCATCTTTCAGAGATGTAATGCTGAATATGAAATCAAATGAATATAAAAGTCAATATGAAATGCATTTTGCAAACCATTTTTCTTCCATAATGAGATGAATTTCTGAGTGAAACATGATATTTAGTCATAATAGAGAGAATGGGACTTGATTTTTGTCCATTGGGAATTGTACAAATTGTGAAAAGCAGATGTTAAATGTCAAAAAGTAAATGGGTTAATTTGCATTTTATATTGACTCAAAAAATATCTTGTTTGTATTTTTTTTTGTCACAATGTTGTTTTAGAATTATTTATATACTATTATAGTTTTTAATAATATTTTGAATTAGTTTTTATTTTTAGTTATTTTGTTATGTGTTTTCATCATTTTTATTAGTTGTAGTTTTTTATTTATTTTTATTTCAGTTTTAATTAATTTAATAGTTCAATTATTAATTTCCAGTTAGTATTTTTAGCTCTATAGCTTAAAACTTATTTCAGTAAATTGTTGAGGCAACATTTCCAATCTTCATTTAGTTTTTCATCTAATATTTAAATATATTTTTTAAATCATACAAAACTCTTTAGGGATGCACCAAAATGAAAATTTTTGGCCAAAGCCAAAACCGAACAAAATAAAACACTGGGCCGAATACCGAACACGGTTTTTCAAGTTTTTTCCCCATGTATTTTGACAATTTTTTTCACCATTGCATAAATTAAATAGCCAAAATGTGCTTTTTACTGTTTTGTCTTGTTTTTAAAAAAAATTATTATCATTATTATTGTCTTACTTTTTATTTTATTTTACATAACATTAAAATTACAATACTAACATTTATGAATGTTGGCTTTCTTGCTTTTTCTCAACTTTTATTTTGGCGGAAACACGCAGGAAGACCTCAATGCTTATTTTTGTTGACAGCAGATTTATAAATGAGTCTCATTACGAATACGTCGCACGTATCGCATTGTCACATGCCTTGTAAAAATTCATAAAAATGTGACTGAGCAACTGATGAGTAACACTGGTTCAGCGCAGATTTTCCTCGCGCTTTGGACTTTAAACCCTGGTTAACAAGCAGATCTTCTGCGAGTTTGTGCAGCGCTGTCAGAACACATGCAATTCGTGCGAAAACATAACGTTTTGCAGTTTATTTACTAATTGTTTAAGGTTGATAGCGTCACGTCATTGTTCGGTACAATTTATTCGGTCTTTTCGCTTATTCGCTTATAATTTCGGTTGCGGAACATTCGGTGCATCCCTAAAACTCTTTATAAAATGATGTTTGATGTTCAATTGATCTGAGGTGATGTTGAGGCACTGAGAAACACTGCTGTGTCTCAGTGTGCTCAGGACAAGCAGCATCCTGTTCTGTTCTCTCTCTCTCTGAGTGTGTGTGTGTGAGTGAGTGAGTGAGTGAGTGAGTGTGTGTGTGTGTGAGTGAGTGAGTGCGTGCGTGTGTGTGAGCTGTTAAACACCTGAAGTCGTGTTTTGTCCGTGTGAGGCTCGATGGCGTGTCCTAACATGTGTCTCTGTGTCTGCAGGTGTTTGCCTTCGACCACTGCTTCTGGTCCATGGATGAGTCCAACATCCCGAAGTACGCCGGTGAGTCAGGCTTGAACACGTTCACTGCGCCGGACGCGGTCACACCTGAGCGATAATTACAGATTATATTCACTATTGTAATATGGAAAGCCCTGGAAATGACACGGACACACAAACGAGCCGTTCCCGAGGGAGTGATCTGAGATGAGATCTGCCAGATTTCCCATGCTGCTCCAGACTAGTTCAGGCTTGATACTGGTTTTACTGCTTTACCGTGCTAGTCTAAAGTCTCAGACACCATTCACTGACCATCTGATGCACTGGAAATTATATCAATTATATAAAAATATTTATATCATAACAAAATTACTAAAACTTGAACTAAAATTAAAATGAAAACTGAAAAGCTAAAATATAAAACTATTAATTATTTTTGAATTTTAATAAAACTATTAAAAATATTTAGCAATTCCCAGTTTTCATTTTTAAAAAAGTAACAAAAAAAAAAAAATCTGTTCATTAAAATTTGTTAATTAAATTAAAGCTGAAAAACTAAAAAATAGATTTATATATACAGTATAGAATGATCATTATTATAATTATGATTCATTCTTATTAGGTCTTTAAAAAATGCTTTTCTGATACTCATGAAATAATTATTCTTACAATATTAATATTATAATTATTAGAGTCAGGAGCAGAACGATGTGATCGCTCGGCTCCGAAGCGAAAAGCTGAATATGCGCTGCATCTGCTGCCTACTTATACTCACGCTGTGATCAGCAGCAGCTGGATGCAATAATCGCATGCCAATGTGCATTGGCTCGTTTAGTTTACACTTGAAGTAGATTGGTCTCTCTAAACGAGATCCCAATTTCGTCGGTCATCCGACGTGACGTCGAGAGTGACCGACTGAAAGGGAACTTAAAATTGTTGCGTTGGCAGCTGACTGAAATAAAATAAGTTAACATAATAAGCTGACATATTAATATTGCTAGAACTGAAATAAAAATAAATTAAAGCTAAATAGAAATATAAAAAAACTAATAAAAATAACAAAAAATCAAAACTAAATTACTAAAACTGAAATAAAAATAAATTAAAGCTAAGTAGAAATATAAAAAAACTTACAAAAAAAACACACATAACAAAACTACTAAAACTTAAATAAAAATAAATAGAAATATAAATATTTTTTAAACTAATGAAAAAAACCAAAGCACAACAAAATTACTAAAACTAAAATTGAAATAAAAAATTAATTCAAGCTAAATATAAATACTTTTAATAACTAATAAAAATAACAAACACAACTAAATTACTAAAACTGAAACAAAAATAAATTAAAGCTAAATATAAATATTTTGAAAAATGAAAATAACAAAAGCACATAAAATTACTAAAACTGAAGTAAAAATAAATTAAATCTAAATAAAAGTATAAAAAACGAATAAAAATAACAAACGCATATAACAAAATTACTAAAACTGAAATAAAAATCAGTTAAAGCTAAATAGAAATATATATTTTAAAAAACTAATAAAAATAACAAAAGCACGTAAACAAAATTATTAAAACTGAAATAAAAATAAATTAAAGCTAAGTAGAAATATAAAAAAACAAAAAAAACATAACAAAACTACTAAAACTTAAATAAAAATTAAATTAAATTGAAATATTTTTTTTAACTAATGAAAAAAACAAAAGCACAACAAAATTACTAAAACTAAAATTGAAATAAAAAATTAATTCAAGCTAAATATAAATACTTTTAATAACTAATAAAAATAACAAACACAACAAAATTACTAAAACTGAAACAAAAATAAATTAAAGCTAAATATAAATATTTTGAAAAATGAAAATAAAAGCACATAAAATTACTAAAACTGAAGTAAAAATAAATTAAATCTAAATAAAAGTATAAAAAGCTAATAAAAATAACAAACGCACAACAAAATTACTAAAACTGAAATTAAAATCAGTTAAAGCTAAATAGAAATATATTTTTAAAAAACTAATAAAAATAACGAAAGCATGTAAACAAAATTGCTAAAACTGAAATAAAAATAAATTAAAGCTAAATAGAAATATTTTTTAAACTAATAAAATAACAAACGCACATAACAAAACTGAAACTAAACTAAAATAAATTAAAGCTAAATAGAAATATTTTAAAACAAAGTTATAAAAAATTAAAGCTAAATAGAAATATTTTTTAAACTAATAAAATAACAAACGCACATAACAAAACTGAAACTAAAATAAAATAAATTAAAGCTAAATAGAAATATTTTAAAACAAAGTTATAAAAAAATTAAAACGCACATAACAAAATTACTAAAACATAAACTAAAATTAAAATGAAAGCTAAAAATATAAAAAATGTAAAAAGTAGTTCTTCCTCAAAAGTCATCATATCAACCCGAAACACATGATTAGCTCCGACCAATCAGAGTGTAGCTGGTGATTTCAGCAGCTCTTGTGATTTTTATAATGTCCCACACTGAAGCTGTTCTTGTAGTCCGGCTGACTAGTGAACATGTTCTTACTCAGACGGTTTGTGCTGGTCCTCTTTCATCCCTCATTCTTACAGTCTAACACATAGAAAGTGTTCAGACAGAGCTGTAATTAAAGTCTTTTAGGAAGGATCATGTGCAGTTATAAGGTTTATACAAGCCTGTACAGAAGTGTAGAAACTCATTAAAAACATTATGTAGTTAATGATGGATGCTTTGGGAAATTCCACATTTTTTCTGTTTGACTTTTTCACGTTTTTTTTTTTTGTGCTAATAAAACCAAATTAACTTGATGCTTTGTGTATTTATATATATTAAATTCATTCATCCAATTTACAGCTATTTTCCTTACAAATTTTTTTTTAATGTTATTTAATTTTTATTTTTTTTCAAAAATTTGATTATGTAAATTAATTGTTCATATATTTGCATATTTTATGAATGCAGTTTATACAGTACCTTACTTACATGTGCAATATATTTAATGTTTTTTTTTTGTCTTGTATGTTGATAGGTGGCTTATATTTATATTTATTTATTGGAGTTAATATGTGAATATGCATGCTTTGTGGATTTGTTTTTTTCTTTTATTTGAGGACTAATTTTTTAGTAATTTTGTTCTTGTCATATTTATTAGTTTTAGTTTTTTTAAATACTACTGTTTCCTAAATTACTATATTACTTTAATTGTTTTTTATTTCACTTTTAGTTTGAGGTCTGTTTTTTATTTATTTCCGGTTAGTAACTTCAGTGCTTCAACTTAAATTTATTTCTGTTATTTGCCAATGCAACATTTCAGATTTTTCATCTAATATTTTATTTTATTTATTTTATTTTATTTTACTTGATTTTTTTATTTTATTAAAAAAATTTTTAATTTTAATTAACAAAAATGTTTTTAATAGTTTTAGTTAACAGTAGTAACCCTGATCTGCCTAGCAACTACTCAGAGCACCCTAACAACCGTGTAGCATGGGATATAAAACTTCAAAGTTCAAACTAACTTATGAACCGTTTTAAATATTTACAGAGTTTGTCTTGATGCACTCAACATTTCCAGTGAGACGATGATATTTAGCATCAGAGTACGTTTCTGCATCAGTACGTTCAGCTTTTATGAATTTTCTGTGATAAATTAAGTGAATGGAGAAAGTAATTGTGTTTACTCGTTGCTCAAACAGGGTTAATGAGTTGTGACAGTCAACAGAAGATCCGTGTGTAAAACGCCGCAGGTCCGGCTTTATTTAGCTCTTCACACAGCTGCCTGATTCACCACGAGCAGAAAAACAGGAGAAGCGGAGCGTGAACTCATTTCTGATTTCAGAGCATTTTCTGGGAGGGATTTCCTTTGAAAAGCAAGGAAATGAGAAATAATACAGAAAACAGAGTGGAATATTCACTTCTCCTCAGTGTTTTTATTCTTAACTAAAGCTATTACAAATATTTTTGTTTATATATATATATATATATAATTATGAAATAAATATTAAATGACAAATTTAAACAATAATTAGAAATGTTGACTTGGCAACTAACTGACAGGGTTATTTTATTATCATTGAGATACTATTGAAGTTTTTGTTAATATTTTGAATTAGTTTTTATTTTTATATTTTCAGTTTTCATTTAAATTTTAGTTAAAGTTTTAGTAATTTTATTGTTTTTTTTATTTGAGTAGTTTTTGTTTTTTAATGTCTATATATATTTATTAGTTTTTATTTTAGTTTTAGTTATTTTACTACATCAGGTTTTTAAATAAAAATGACAACTATTGCCTTTATACATTTATATTTTATTTTATTTTAGTTAACGTTTATTTTATTTCAAGTAACAGTTTTTAAGTGATTTTGTTATGTGCTTTTGTTATTTTTATTCATTACTTCTATTTAGTTTTATTATTTTTTTAAATAATTTTAGTACTTTAGCTTCAGCTTATTTTATTTTAGTTAGTTGCCAATGCAACAATTTTAAGTTTTTCATGTAGTATTAAAAAATACTGTGTTTTTGACATTTTTATTAATTTTTTAAACGTCTATATAGTTTTCATTCATTTTTATTTCAATTTTAGTTTTGGTTATTTTAGTACATCAAGTTAAACGAAATGAAAATGAGAAATGTTGCCTTGAATGTTGAATTAAAATATTTTATTTTATTTCAAGTTTTTTATTTCAATTAACGAAAATGGTTTTATGGTTTTAGTTTTAGTTACTCTAATAACCCTGCTAAATGAAATCAAATGAGTTTAAGTTAAAGTGCTAAAGTTACTAAAACTGAAATAAAAATAAATGTATAAAAAACTAAAGTTTTACAAAATTAAAGAAATTTAACAAAAATAATAAAAATGCTGAAAGCACATAGCAAAATGACTCAAATTAAAATGAAAACTGAAAATATAAAAATAAAAGCTAACTCAAAATATAATACATATGAATAGTAAATAAATAATAAAAAGCACTGGTGGATATCTAGTTTACTTGCAAGTCCCATTTTTGTATTCAGACGGCTTTTGTGGAAGGTGTTTCTATTGAAAGTCAAGGAAATGTGGAGATTTCTTTGTGAAAACTCTGATTGTGACGGTTGTGTGTGTTTGTCCCGCAGGTCAGGAGGTCGTCTTCAAGTGCCTCGGGGAGGGAATACTTGAAAATGCCTTTCAAGGATACAACGCCTGCATTTTTGCCTATGGACAAACAGGTAGAGTTATATATCTGTGCTCTTATGTGATGTGCTCTAGATGATCGTGACATGTTTGAATAGATGCTCATTCATTGTCATAAGAGCGCCGGTGATTCTGCAAGATGTTAACGAGCACACAAACATATTGAGCTCACACTGTACAAACAAACGAGGAATTTCCAGTGAACGCGAATCTCACCAAAACCGCAGGAAATTAAATTATATTGTGCATGAAGAAAATACATCCAAAACGTTACACTTTTTTTGCTTTTTTTATGACAATTAATGCACATTTGTCCCCTCAAATTTTCATTAATGTGTTTTGTCCAGATGTTTTACTTGTGAGTTTTTTTGTAATTATTCTCAATGATAATTCTTCCTAGACAAGTAAAAAAAGTTATCGTAAAATCATAAAACCAGATTAACCTGATTTTTATTTTTTTTTAGTCTTAAATGTTTAAACTAAGAGTTGAAAAAAGATCAATTGTATTTTGTTTCTTTGCATACAAATTGTTTAAAAATAAAATAAAAATAAAGATACATTAAACATAGGAAAAATGTGTATACATTTTTATTTGTTAATTATTTGTATATAAAGAGAAATTTTACATTTTATCTTTTTTTCTCATTTTAGTCGTCATAACCAGATTAAACCTGATTTTTTTTCCCCTATTTTTTTGTCTTAAATGTTTAAACTAAGTGTTGTATTAAAATTTTTCTCTATATAAAAATAAAAGAAAAATAAAGATACATTAAAGATCTGAAACATTAAAAAATGTGCAATTTTTTTTTTTATTTACTGATTTTTTTGTATATGAAGATAATTTTTCTAATTTTAGTTATCATAAAATAATCAGATTAAACCAGAAACTTTTGTTTCTGTTGTTGTTGTTTTTTATTTGCATTTTATTTTTTCCTTTAAAGATACATTAAGGATCTGAAAAAATTATTTTTTATTTATATTTTTAATTATTTGTATTTTTAAATATTATTTAAGTAGTACAAAATAAGCCAAAATGTATATTTTTTCTGTTCTGTTTCATATTTTTAATGTATCTTTATTCGTCTTTTAAATTAATATTTTAATCATTATTTAAATTTATGTAATTTATTTTTTTATTAATTATTTTTATATTTTATTGTATTACTTTTAATTATTTTATGTTTAATTTTATATATTTAATTTAATTATTTTATTGCCCAGGCACCACAACTGAAAATCACCCGTAATGGTAACCGAATGCAGAATTAAAGTAAAAAAGCAGATTACCATTAATAAGAGTCCAGTGTGTCATATGGTCTGTGTGTAAATATGAATCTGATATATTTCTCCGTGCATGAACAGGAAGCGTCTGTGTTTTCAGTCACAGGACGGTTACGCGTCTGAAACCTGTAAGCGTCTTCTTCTGACCCGTGAATGCTTGTGTTGTCCGGCAGGCTCGGGGAAATCCTTCTCCATGATGGGCAACGGAGAGCAGCCGGGCCTGATCCCCAGACTCTGCTGCTCGCTGTTCGAGAGGGTCTCCAGAGACCAGAACCAGACCCATTCCTTCAAGGTGGAGGTGTCCTACATGGAGATCTATAATGAGAAAGTCCGGGACCTGCTGGATCCCAAAGGGTGAGCGGATTCGTAATATACAGCAGGCCCAAAATGCACTTGATAGGCCTCTTAGCACTGGATTGCACTGCATTATATGTTCATTGCCCAAGAAACATCAAATAACACGTTCACATAAAATAGACAGTATTTGAAACAAAAGTTTCTATGTGACCCTGGAGCACAAAACCAGCCATAAGGCCAATTTTTTCGAAATTGAGATTTATGCATCATCTGAAAGCTGAATAGTTAGGGTTGTTAGGATAGGACAATATTTTTTCGAGATACAACTATATGAAAATCTGGAAAAAATCAAAATATTGAGAAAATCATCTTTAAAGTTGTCCAAATGAAGTTCTTAGCAATGCATATTACTAATCAAAAATTAAGTTTGATATATTTACGGTAGGAAATTTACAAAATATCTTCAAGGAACATGATCTTTACTTAATATCCTAATGATTTTTGGCATAAAAGAAAAATCAATAATTGTGACCCATACAATGTATTGTTGGCTATTACTACAAATATACCCCAGCGACTTAACACTGCTTTTGTGCTCCAGG